TGTTTAAGTGTGCCTAAGCACTTGTCTTCAAGCTCTTTTGTTCATGGTATTACATACATACTATATATATATATATATTCAAATTTTTTTTGCTTGTTGATTTGCCCTCTCATTTGGCACCACACCTGTCCTTTTTCTGCAAAAATTTCTTCCTTTGCTAAGAGAGGTGTCAGTCAAATCCTAAGATGTTCCTTGGTAACTGAGCTTTGTATTACGTTGTGACAGCCTTCTACACCGGCATGTTGTCACATGCCTGCTGAAAGACAATCCAAAGTTCTAGCGGAAATGTGGGTTCCAAACTCTGTGTCCCTGTATAGACCACTATGAGGCTGAGTTACATGACATAAAAATGGGAGTCCTGCAGCAATGGAGAAGTGAAACAAAACTGTCAACCAGTTATTTTCTTTTTTATCTTTTATGGCAAAATTACCTTACAGCCAGTTAGTTATGCAGCAAAAATGCTTGCTGCTAAGATGCTTATAGCAAAACTACCTAGAACAGAGAAACGAATGCATTCTGGGCACAGGCAGTTACAGGAAGCAGCATGTGGGCTGGAGGGGCCGGGCCGGAAGTGCCAGGACAGAAGGCTTTGCTACTGTGCTGACAAGCTGGCCTTGCCCTGGGGGTCTTCAGGAGGGGGTGACAGGATGACACTGCAGCTTTAGAAACATTGCTATGGACTAAAGGGAGAGACCAGACAGAGAGACATAGATAGTGCTTCAGGTGAAAGCTGGGAGGAGGGGGGTGCCAGGAAGGATAAGACCAGGGAGCCTGCAGAGGCCAGGGGAAGGAGTTCAGCCCCCCAGGAAAGTACAAGTCTCCCCTGGAAGAGGAGGAGGTTTTGTGAGGGAGAATACCAGGGACAAGGGTCTTGAAGGCCAAGGCAGGGGGCTTCATGCAAAGGCACAGGGGTCCAGAAAGCTAAGGGCTGGAAGTGTTTGTTTGTGGCTTTTGATGGCAGGAGGTCCTCATTGACCTTTTGGAGAGGATTCCAATAGTAGCAATTTGGGGGCTGAGGCCAGACTGCTAAGTCAGGGGTGACTGAGAGGTGAGGAAGCAGAGACAGTGACGGTAAACTAGCCTTCAGAGAAGTTTGAGAAGTGGGGATGGAGAGGGCGATATAAGACAAAGGGAGGGGGATGGATTGTGATTTTTATTTTTCCTAAAAAAACAAGAGCTACCAATTGTGTTTGTCAACAGAGAGGAAAGAGCCAAAGTGGGGAGACACTAAAAAGTGGGATGGGGAGCAGAGTGGCTAAGTGATGAAGTGAGATCCAGGGGCCCTCGGAGCCCAGGTGGATGGCTGGCCCTGGTCAGCCACAGGGAAGACATCTCGTCTGAAGCCATGAGGAAAGGTGGGGGGCAGATAAGTCTGCAGCCAGGGCCAGCGGGAAGCAGAGGGAGTGCCCTCCACACAGCACTGTTTCTAGGTGAGGATGGAGCTGAGGTCATCTCCTGAGGCCAGCAGGCTGGGGTTGGGTGAGAGGGCCTGAGATGAAAGGGAAAGGCCATGGCTACCCAAGGGCCTCAGCTGCACAACAGGCAATGTGGAGCAAGCTGGCAAGTCATGTGTGCCAAACGGTGTGGTCTTGGGTGGTCCAAGGAAGGCAAGACTCCCCCACTGCAAACACCAAGTGTTGACCATGCCCAAGTACCTTTGGCCTCCAGGCCTCTGTTTCCTCAACTGTAAAACAATTTGGAAGCCTGAGGAAGCAGTGGGCATCTCCCTGCTTGAAGTCAGAGGTCCTGAGGTCTTCCCCAAATGTACAGGCCTCTCTCTAGCAACCCTGGGAAGAGGGCGATTTCCTTCCATCTGAGATTGGGGAAGCAGCAACTGGGGGCCCTGGGAAACAGGATGCTGGGAGCAAAGACACAGAAGTCCAGAAGCACGAGTGAGTGCAGGACATGGTCTAGACAAGAGCTGGGGGCCATGGGAAGGGTGACAGAGAGGGGCGGCGCAGGGGCTGTGACTGTACAGCGGGCCAGGACCAGACATAAGCCATTACCGGTCACCAGACATGCAAGCCGGTCACTTCCTTTTATCCAGTCCCATCCCCACGCTAACTCTATGGAACTGATTTCCTTATCACCCCCAAAAGAGGCTCAAAGAGGCAAAGTAAAAGGGACTCTAAATGTTTAAGTCAGGCCTGTGGCTCCAGAATGACGGTTAGTTTTCGGATAATGAAGGTTCTAGGGGTGATGGCCTGTTAGCAGGCTCTTCCGTGGACGAGGTAGCTATTCCTCTGAGGCGCAGGCAATTAGGATGATTATGAAGATCATGGATATTCTGCCTCCACGGGTTACTTGCCAGGGAATCAAATACCCATGAAGCATATGGACACTGGAGCAGAAGACCCGGCGGACTGGCCTTTCTAGGAGCCTCATTAGCCCATCCTGTCCGGGAGCCGCCACTCAAAGCCTCGGCTCAACAAACCAGCATTGTCCACATACATCCTCTCCAAAGAGCTGGACAACTGTCTGCAACCCAGTCACCCCCAGTCTTTGTTGACTGCAGTGATCTCTGGCAAGGGGAGCCTGCCCTGTGGGCTCTCCCTCCATTCAGCACCCAGATCTAGTTGAGCCCCTTCCTTCACATGGTCTCAGATGAAGCAAAACAAAACCTGCTTATCTTAAAGATTCTAAATTAACTCTACAGTGGATGATAAACCAGACTTCAAAGATAAGCTGAAGCCCCCCTTCCTGTGCACAAGCACAAAATATTGCAGAAATAATCGTAGACTCACGGGTGGATGGGGAATGAAATCCAACATCTATTTTAGATCATTCAGGAGAAAAAAGCCATAATGACAATTTAAACTATGTTCTGTCTTCATGAATCTAACAAATTGATTTAATTTATCAATATAAACAATTGGGGATGGGGTAGAATATGAAATAAGAAATTTATGGTAGAACAACGGAATCATCCCTTTTTTTTAATCACCTCCCCTAACAAATAGCAATTCACTAGGATCTAGAAAATGCATGCTACTTCTAGAATACGCTGACTGGAACTTGACTTAGAACAACTGTTTCATTCTAAAAACCTTCTAAAAATACCAGGAGGGAATAAACACTGGAATATTTTTCTCAATTGTTATAAACATTAAACCCAAGCAATATGAAATGAAGTTTAAGAAATCACAGAGAGAGACAATGAAGCTAGGTAGAAACTTTACTTACAGTTTTCTTGTACGTCAAGGCCTGAACCTGAAAAAGAAGAAATATGTTCATTTCATAGGTTTCAGTTCTCATGAAGTTTAAGGGATGTGGGAAGAGAATTAAAAACTCACAAAGCAGAAATGTCAGCAGAACTCCAAGCCACATCTTGCTCACTTGGGTCCAAGAGAGCTGCATTCTGAGAGTGAAGGCTTTGGGCAGTTAGTTCTGCCTTCAGGCCATGCCCCTGGGGCGGAAGACACTTTTCACACACAACAGATGAGAAAGCTGCCTGTGAAAAGCAGAGCGACCACGCGGGTAACTTCTCCCAGGCCACGAGAGACCAGACTGGCTGCGGAGCTGGTCAGGTAATGGCAGCCATTGCTGGAAACTGGAAACAATGAATGAAGCCTGGGCCGGCCTGATATCTCCTCAGGAAATGACTGGTCTTCCTGAGGGGCCACTGAATGCAACCTCTTTGTTTAGTTCTTTTACGGGGAAAAAAAAGGCACACACAAAAAGTGACACTTGCCTCAGCGCTGCTGACCCTCCTGCCTGGCCTGGGTTTGGAGCGCCTTCTCATGGCAGGTGGCGAGGGTTCCTTCCTCTCTGCAGCCTCCACCCAAAGGGCTTCTACGGGCCAGGACCAGACATAAGCCATTACCGGTCACCAGACATGCAAGCCGGTCACTTCCTTTTATCCAGTCCCATCCCCACGCTAACTCTATGGAACTGATTTCCTTATCACCCCCAAAAGAGGCTCAAAGAGGCAAAGTAAAAGGGACTCTAAATGTTTAAGTCAGGCCTGTGGCTCCAGAATGACGGTTAGTTTTCGGATAATGAAGGTTCTAGGGGTGATGGCCTGTTAGCAGGCTCTTCCGTGGACGAGGTAGCTATTCCTCTGAGGCGCAGGCAATTAGGATGATTATGAAGATCATGGATATTCTGCCTCCACGGGTTACTTGCCAGGGAATCAAATACCCATGAAGCATATGGACACTGGAGCAGAAGACCCGGCGGACTGGCCTTTCTAGGAGCCTCATTAGCCCATCCTGTCCGGGAGCCGCCACTCAAAGCCTCGGCTCAACAAACCAGCATTGTCCACATACATCCTCTCCAAAGAGCTGGACAACTGTCTGCAACCCAGTCACCCCCAGTCTTTGTTGACTGCAGTGATCTCTGGCAAGGGGAGCCTGCCCTGTGGGCTCTCCCTCCATTCAGCACCCAGATCTAGTTGAGCCCCTTCCTTCACATGGTCTCAGATGAAGCAAAACAAAACCTGCTTATCTTAAAGATTCTAAATTAACTCTACAGTGGATGATAAACCAGACTTCAAAGATAAGCTGAAGCCCCCCTTCCTGTGCACAAGCACAAAATATTGCAGAAATAATCGTAGACTCACGGGTGGATGGGGAATGAAATCCAACATCTATTTTAGATCATTCAGGAGAAAAAAGCCATAATGACAATTTAAACTATGTTCTGTCTTCATGAATCTAACAAATTGATTTAATTTATCAATATAAACAATTGGGGATGGGGTAGAATATGAAATAAGAAATTTATGGTAGAACAACGGAATCATCCCTTTTTTTTAATCACCTCCCCTAACAAATAGCAATTCACTAGGATCTAGAAAATGCATGCTACTTCTAGAATACGCTGACTGGAACTTGACTTAGAACAACTGTTTCATTCTAAAAACCTTCTAAAAATACCAGGAGGGAATAAACACTGGAATATTTTTCTCAATTGTTATAAACATTAAACCCAAGCAATATGAAATGAAGTTTAAGAAATCACAGAGAGAGACAATGAAGCTAGGTAGAAACTTTACTTACAGTTTTCTTGTACGTCAAGGCCTGAACCTGAAAAAGAAGAAATATGTTCATTTCATAGGTTTCAGTTCTCATGAAGTTTAAGGGATGTGGGAAGAGAATTAAAAACTCACAAAGCAGAAATGTCAGCAGAACTCCAAGCCACATCTTGCTCACTTGGGTCCAAGAGAGCTGCATTCTGAGAGTGAAGGCTTTGGGCAGTTAGTTCTGCCTTCAGGCCATGCCCCTGGGGCGGAAGACACTTTTCACACACAACAGATGAGAAAGCTGCCTGTGAAAAGCAGAGCGACCACGCGGGTAACTTCTCCCAGGCCACGAGAGACCAGACTGGCTGCGGAGCTGGTCAGGTAATGGCAGCCATTGCTGGAAACTGGAAACAATGAATGAAGCCTGGGCCGGCCTGATATCTCCTCAGGAAATGACTGGTCTTCCTGAGGGGCCACTGAATGCAACCTCTTTGTTTAGTTCTTTTACGGGGAAAAAAAAGGCACACACAAAAAGTGACACTTGCCTCAGCGCTGCTGACCCTCCTGCCTGGCCTGGGTTTGGAGCGCCTTCTCATGGCAGGTGGCGAGGGTTCCTTCCTCTCTGCAGCCTCCACCCAAAGGGCTTCTATCTCTAGACACCCAGCAAGATTTCTCTACTTTGCCTGTACCCTATCCTGCAAGGGGCTTCTTTCCATACACCGTAAGGTTGGACTGCCTGCCTTTCCTGGCAAGACCACGGGACAGGGCTGACTTCCCCAAAGAACGGCAGGATTGCCAGAGACCTGCCACCTGAGCAAGCTGAGCTTGGAACTTGCTGGAACCAGGAGGTTTCCCTGGCCTTTGCATTGGTTTCAGTGAGGACGAGGTACCCACCTGTGATGAACCCATACCTTCTGGTGGCCTCCCTCCCTCCTGTACCCTTAAATGCACACACACTGTACTGGACCACGGAGAACATTCTAAGATAAACACTTTCACTCCCTTGTTTGAGACTTTATAATGGCTCCGCATTACTCTCCAAAGTCAGTTTACCATCCTCTCCAATCCAGCCCTTGTGTAACCTCTCCAGCCTGGCGCCTCACCACTTCCTTCCTTGTTCCCCAACATTCTGGTTGCTAGGATATGTTGCTCCCCAAACGTGTCACATGTGTCTGCGTCTTTGTCAGAGCTGCTCTCCTGCTGGGAGCACCCTTCCCTCTCTTGTTTTCTGGCTAATTCCTACCCATACATCCTAACTCAGTTTAGGCAGTAACTCCTCCAGAATGCCCCTCTGTATCCCCCACATTGAGCTGCCCTTCTTCTGTGCGTCCTCACCTCCCTATACTTTCTACAGTGCGCCACAGTGGCCAGTCCTCCTCCGGTGCACTGAGGTTGCATGGTGGCAGGGACAGTTATTGGGACTTGGCAGACGATCAAACAACGCAATAGAATGGACAGTTGTCTGGGTGAATGATGACAAGTTAACAGCATTGTCTGAATTTGATTATCATTGCCTTGAGGGCAGGGGGCCATGTTGTTTCTGAAATGCTACCCTCTGATACTGCCACACGGTAAAGCTAAGTCAGATTTGAACGGAGACAATAGAAACCGAAGATTCTTCTGCCTTAGGGCAAGTACCAAGACGTGATGGCTTCTGGCCAGAGAACAATTCCTTTCTGATCTATGGCTGGTGCAAGTTTTGATAAGAGCTATTGAAGTACAATGCATGCATAAAGGAATTTTTTGCTATTGTGTTATTTACTTCTGTTGTTTTTGTTGTTTTTGGTTCCCAGTTCTGCCCTGTAAACCATCTTCTTTGGCAACCTACTGGAAATTACCCCTACCCATCCACTAAATTTTGATTTGTCAGGAACGGGAAACACCATGAGTAATAAAATCAATGTTGGCTTCAAAGGAAGCTTTTACAAACTATAGAGTAAAAGCAATTTCTGCTTCTCAGAGTAACATTGAAGCAATAGTTCTAAATGTCCCTGCCCATGTCCGTGAATTCCAAAGTAAGCTTCTAAAACTTAGTCATTGCTTCTATACCATGCTAATACTTTTAGAACACCATGAGAAAATAAAGGTTTATTTAAAAAATAAGTACTAATGTTTTAAAAGAAAAGCAGAAAAACTATATCCCACAATTCATACCATGCATCAGAATAAATTCTAAATGGACCAACCATGTGAAGGTTCAAATGAAACCATTAAAATTATATTATAATGAAATATAATCCTGCAGGGTAGTATAGCCATTTCTCACTATGGTTTTAATTTGTATTTTCCTAAGGACTAATATTAAGCATGTTTTCATGTGCTTATTTGTCATCTAACGTGTCTACTAAAATCTTCTGCCCAATTTTTAGTTAGATTGTTTTCTTAGCATTGTGTTTTTAGATTTCTTTATATATTGTGGATACAAGTCCTTTATCAATTATGTGCTTTCCAAATATTTTCTCTTAGTCGTGGCATGTCTTTTTATTTTCTTAATGGTGTCTTTGGATAAGCAAAAGTTTAAAATTTTTAAGTTTTAAATTTTAAATAATGTAGTCGAGTTTATCAGTTTTTTCTTTTCTGGATCATCCTTTTTGCCTAACAAGTTCACAAAGATTTTCCCCCCATATTTTTACATTTAGATCTATTATCTATTTCGAACAAATTTTTATGTATGATACAAGGTGTGGATTAAAGTTCTTTTTTTTATATGTGCATGTCCAATTGTTCCAGCATTATTTGTTGAAAAAACTCTTTTCTCCAGTAAATTCCTTGCACCTTCACTGAAAATCAGTTGCCCATATACGTGTGGCTTTGTTTCTGGAGTCTCTATCCTGTTCTGCTGATCTGTTTGCTTACCTGCATGCAGCACCACACTGCGCTGAGTTCAGTAGCTTTATAACACATCTTGAAATCAGGTAGTGTTCTTCCTAAACCTTTTTCTTCCCTTTCAAAGTTATCTGGGTTATTCTAGGCCCTTTGCCTTTTTGCTTTTCCATATGACTTTTAAAATCAGTGTCTCAATTTCCACCAAAAAAAGGCTGGAGATTTTAACTGGAATTGTATTGAATCTATAAATTGATTTGGTGAGAACTGACATCTCGATAATACTGAGTATCTGGCCCATGAACGTGGCCTCTCTCTCCCTTTAAGTTTACTTTCAGTAACGTCTTAGAGTTTTCAGTGTACTTTTCATTATAAGCCTCACGTCCTTTTTAGTGTTAAGTCCCGTGAATGTAAAATAATCAGATCAAAAATCAAATTAAGAAATCGAATTTCAGAATAAAAGCTGCGCCTCAGAGTGTTGGAAATCATTTGAAGTGGCTGCCGTACCCACGCCACAGCCCTGCAGGGTGACCGGTGCTGAAGACCCCAGAGCCAGGTCCGTGCGGGGCTGATCCTACACAGGATCGGCGGCTCCTCACGGGGGAGCCTCCCCGCCACCACCCTTCCTGAGTCTCTCCCTCTCCCTCTCTTTACATGGGAACTACTCTTAGTTCTTGTTGACTGAGAAAAGAGGCAGAACTGAAGTAAAAGCAGATCATTAACTCAGGGTCTCAGAACTGCAGTTCAGGGAGCACAGATTCAGGAAGACACCCAAATTGTGTCCCCCGAAGGAACAAAAGTCAGGGGCTTCTAAAGACAGAAGGGGATGCTTATGTGGGCTGTTTAGAAAGAATTTTGATTGGAGTTGGTGGCAGAAAACTAATGGTGGCTAGGCCACTTGGCTGCTAAGGCCGGCCCTGAGCGCAGGCGCATTTCTGTAGCAGGCTGCTGGGCGGGGGCTGAGTCCTCGGGTGCCTGCCATTTGGCCCCGTCCAGGAGTTCCCGCCTCCACCCCGTGGGGACATGCTCGAGGCTCAGCTCCTGAGCAGCCTCCCAGCTCCGTTTTAAAACCCCTGGGCATAAGTGACTGCATTTTGGCTGACCTCTCGCATTCTGGTGGGCTCTCTTCCCCCTCCCCCATGCCTGGCTACGATCTAAGAACTGAAGTGTATGTTCTCCATCATTTATTTTATTCACTGAAAAGATGATCATGCTCCTTATTCTTTATTTTCTAAAGGATGAGTGGCTTATTAAGAATGAAAAATGTCTAAGTAGAATATTTTCTAGTTCACCTTTTTAAAAATAGTAAACCAGGTGTTTTTTTTATATGTGTATGGCCTTACAAATCTCCCCCTTCGTTCCCCTCGTCCTTGGTGAGTTCCTTGCGCAGAAAAAAAGAAGTTCCATGCAGCTATTTTATCTCCTTGGTAACTAACCAAGAAACTGATTCCTACACTGCCAAGGTCGGAGACCCCAGGGTGCCCACCGGGCATGACGAGCTCACCCAAGACCCTATTTCTCTCACTGCTCTGCTTCCTTCTTCTCCTTCTCAGCCAAAGGGAATTGAAGTTGAACAGGCTGTTCTCCCCAAATACCAAGGAAGTCACACCAATCTGAAACATGGCAATTCATTAACCAGATGAGAAAAATTGCCTGCTAAAATAAACCTCAACGTGAGTTTTCTGAGAAGCTGGGGGTGGAGTCAGGGAAGCAGGCAGGCAGTCCCATCAGAGAGCTACAGACACCAGGCTTTGCTACCCCCCATCTATTCACGACTACTGTGATCGGAAATAACATAGCAGCATTTCCTCCTGCTTGTGGCCGCGGGTCTGGTTAATTAACCTGGGTGGGTTGATGATCAGGACCAATCTCCCATCCATTGGACTAGAAGTCACCCCAGTGCAAGACTGCACATGTACCATGGCCATCAGAAGCCCAGGGTTCCAGTCCTTTCTCTGAAGTTTAATAGTTTCAATGTTTTGAGGTTCACTTTCCTCACTTATAAATTGGGAATAATATGCCCACTCTACCCACTTCACAGGCTTGTTATGAAGATCCAAAGAGAGCCAGCATTTGAAAGCACATTTAACCAGCAGAGCACAATAAAAAGCAACCAAAGTGATAATAACAATCAATAGCTGTAGGTCTGGTTGGAGACCCAGCTTGTCCCGTCTGAACTGCTGCTCTCGTAACTCTGCTGTCTTAATGAGCTCAAGGGGAGGGGTTCAGCCCCTAATTCGGTGCCTCCCCAAGGGCTGTCCTCATTGCCCCAGCTGGCCCTTCAAAAAGGTGGGCAGCTGGGCAAAAGGGAAGCAGGCTATTCCATCCCCTGTTGGAATTCCCTCCACCCGGGACAGGGGACAAGGTATTAGAATTCATGGCTCTAGACATTTTTGCTTTCATGGGCCCCTTCCTCCATTAAAAAAACTTTAAAAATTTTTATTTTACAAATTATAAAATTATATTTTACAAAACATATTAGTATTATATATATTAAAACATTTCTTTGACCAAAAGGTCCTTTTGCATTCTTTTGATTAATACAATTTTTTTATGGGTCCCTAAGAGTATTTGGGCCCTGCACATGTAGCACATGCAGTGCTGTACC